CAATATTTTAATTGATTTGGTCTTGATAAACTAGAGAGGAATTTATAACGGCCAATAATATCTATATGATGTTAACAATCATAGTTTAATTGCTTCATCTATCCCAAAGTTAAGTTTCTCAATAAAATATTTTATGTTGAGGCAAGTCTTAACTACCTTCATTGTAGCAAAACTAATTGATATGATTAATTTGAATGTAGAATTTTATTAGTTGTCATAATATATATAAATTTTAAAATAGTGGCGTCATAAATATGGGGGATAGCATATAATGTCACATTGAATTATTTTGAATATACTTTTTAAGGAATCATAAGAAATCCAAAATTTAGGTATATCAAAATTACACATAGGACTTGTGTTATGATGCATCATATTATAAAAATCTAAAACATATCGTAAATAAATCATTAGCGACAAATCAAGCGATTTCAGAATTGCCCATAGAATAGATAATAATGCTTGGCTTGTTTGATTATAATCCTTAAAATAGCAATTAATACTACATCAAGGAAACATAGAAAACAGTAAAAATTAAGTTCCACAAAGTTGTAAATAGTGACTCACTTTTAAAAAACTTTTAGGTGTTGTCCAAACCAAGATATTCACTAAATTTTGAGTTTTTAATGATAGATCTTTCATTTTATATTGATCATAGCTATAAGTATTAATGGAGACAATGTGGACTTCCATCAAACAAGTTTAGGAGCTAAAAGAGCTTGCAGGCATTAATAACAAATCATAGATTTTAGTAATCATTACATTAAAATTGAATGGCTCAACAGTGTTAATAAATCTAGAACTCATGAATCACACTCAATGCATTACAAATTCTATTAGGTTACGCGCACATTTTAGACAGTGTTTCTAAAAGTAAGCACAACTAGAGTTAAATAAAGATGAACTAAGGTTTTGAATAGTGAGTGCATGAAAGATTTGTGACAAGGATGACAGAATGTAAATAGACATATGCAAGGATGTCATATTATGTTGAACGATAGTTAAAAACATAAGAAACGATACTACATTTCATTACAATTAAGGTAAATAAAAAGAACGAATAGTATGCATAAACATTCAGGATCAAATTATATCAATTTCCTGTGCAAGAGATGACATCAAATTTAAACTAATATTTGACGTAATTAGGTAAGAAGGATAATTGTTACATGTCTGTTCAGCACACTTATAAACCAAGAGTTGAAAAGCTGAGGTTGTTGTATCAATCAAAGAAATGCAGTGTTTATTACTCAGAATTAGCACAAGTGGCAAACTACTGTTCATAAGCATATTTGAAATTATATTAATTAAGCGTCTTAAATCTAAAACCCTTAATAAAAAATTCATTTAACAAAATTAGCTATAAATGAAAGATCTTTTAAAAGTATCATTCATCTTTTTCAGTTTTGTATGTAAGAGCATAGATCAAATAATAACAAGAATCAGCACATAATTATTTCAGGCTATTATAAGGAGCCCCAGAGCCATAGATTAATTTATGGAATCCATCTAAACACAATAAATTAGTGCAAGTTAAAATTTAACGTAGTAGTATTATTAGTAAGGAAGTATAGGACATCATCTGTATAACAAAATATTATAGGAAATTACAAGACTTTACATAATGCTGAATAATAAAGGTTTAAATTATGCGATGATATGCATATTACATTTTTAAATAATGTTTAAAAAGTATTGCTAGGCATCATATTATTACTGGATTGCAAGTAGAATATTTAATGTGCTTTAGCAGAGCCATAAGCATTCAATGGCTAACGGAGCGTAATTACAGGTAAAAGAAAACTTGACAGCTCAGCTTCCAACTGTATTGGTGAGTCACAGTCGCAGTCAAGGCGTGCATTGTACATTAATACTATTATCTTCATGAATAGTATGGAAGTTGACAGCTATTGCACGACTTAGGAGAGAAAATAATTGCCA